AAAAAAAGAAAAAAAAAAGGGACAAGTATCATCATTAATAATAGTCACAGTAATAGATTGCTCGAATAGCGTGTATTGCACATGTGTACACATATATGCACTTTATATACATGTGAGTCAGCAAGAACTAGACATATGTCGTATCGTCGCAACAGGAAAGAATCTGGAGAGAAAGGACAGCACAGACAGAGAAGAGTCAGGAATGTGCTTGTGATCAGTTCCAACAAAAATGGCGTCTTTTTTTTGTTTTTGTTTTTTTTTTCTCGAAAAGAAAAAAAAAAATCAGTCACGAGGCCGGACGAGCGAAAGGTAACAGAGAGAACGTCTCCCCTCGAAAACAGAAGGAGGTAAGAGAGAGAGAGAGAGAGAGAGAGAAGGTGACACCGATACTGAACCTCCCCCGTCTCACCCAAGAGTCCAAATGTACTCCCATCCCCTCCCTCCCCCCCAAAACATCGCGTCATAGCAAGACACTACATGTACACCACAGTATCAAACATATCAAGAAATATACAGTATTAACTCATGTAGCAAAATAGTCCAAGTGTGTGTGTGTGTGTGTGTGTGTGTGTGAGAACGTGTGCGTTTCACCTCAGTGTGTTTGTAGCGACGGTAAAGCTGTTGGTGTGGCCTCCGCGACCCGTGGAGGAGCCCTGACGGCACAAACCTGCGCCGTTTAAAAAAAAAAAAGTCGAAAACAGCCCCTTGTAAAGCTTCAGTCTGTGCTTTTTATGTACAGCTCGGAGCCAAACGGCAACCAGCCACGACTCAAGAGGTCAGTTCTGCTGTTGGAGTTAGTTTTTTTTGTAGTTTTGGCTGTCACATCTATCAGCGAGGGTACAGGCGGGAATCGCTAAATGAATGGAGGAAGCAAAAGGCTGGGGTCCACAGCAGAGGGGCACAGTGATCGTAGCTGTTCAGAACCGCCACGTTTTTTTAAAAAGAGGGTCATGGAGAAGGGCGGCGCTTGATTATTCGTCCAAACGGGGATCAACCACCTGCTTTTGTACTTGATGGCAGATATGTGAAGTCGGGGTATCGGACAAGTACCCAGCCTCGCTCAAGAGGTCACGAAGCAAGACGACGGGCGAGTTTTTTGTCCTAACTTTTCTCTCATCTCGTCATATTTTTATGGTCATAGACTGGATTGTTTCAATCAAACTAATCTGTTTTTAGTAACTCCATCTAGGGGTTGTGCAAATTTTTAAACAGACTTTACAGGAAATAAAAGATCTTGCACAACTATCCGGTTAAAAAAAGCAAACGGAATCCTTCGCTAGGCGTAAGCTGAGTGCATCACATGTCGACCGAATAGAACTTTATCGATTCCTTTGGAGGAAACCTCAGGGAATAACCTAAAACTACCTCGGGTCATCGGGGAAAAGCTCAGAACAAGAAGATGCTCTTAAGAGTTAAAGAGTTGGTCAAACATTTGGGTGGAGTTAAACCGCTGCAGAAGACGTCGGCATGATTTAAATCTGAGAAATGTTCGTCTCCTCAACAGTCCACCCCACATTTGTTTTGTTCATCTTTTCAGTCATTAAGTCACAGATGTTGCTTAAATTGGTGTCAATATTTTTTCTACATGTACTTCGGCTTCCTCTCATTTCCAGCACTGTGGTTTCAGTGCAGAAAACAGGTGGATGGAAAGTGGATGCTGCTTCTCTTCGAGCCACAAATAGTTCGAGAACCACTCGGCTAAATAATTCAACCGGGAGGATGAATCAACAGGTCGGGCAGGAAGTGAGCGACTGTTATTTATTTCAGAGGATGCTAAAAATTCATTTCGAGTTCTTAGGTGTGGAAGCACATCGCATTCACAAAAAAAGGTTCTGGAATAATGCCTCGTAACTACAAGATCTGGATCTGGCAAATACAAGGAATGGCTGCCATAGTTTCAATGAGTTAGAATGTGAGTATAAGCGTTTTGTTGCTTTGCTGTTTTAGTAATCGTCACATTAAAAGTCTTCCTCACAGTTATGAGATAAGGTTCTACTTTTCCTCCTTCGTGAATGCGATCTGATTCCTTACTCAAGCTCACAAATCTCTCCTTTTAACCCGCACAGTTCTGACTACTCACAATAAGGACGGCAAAAACCTACAAAACAAGTTTTCACGAAAAACAATGTTTAAGATTTTAAGTCGCAGTTCCCCTAATGACCACAAGGTGGTGCCCATGTGACTCAAATAAGATCCCTCAACAAACACTACTTGTTGGGGGTCATTTCTTTTAAACATTAAGGCTTTTTTTTTTTTTGCAGCTGAACTGACAGCTCCTGGTAGTTGGTGGCTGCTCGTCCCACCACCGGTTCCCTCCCTTTGTGCTTGCGTGAACTCCAGTCGAGCTCAGATTCAACACCATCCGGCGCTCTCGTGTTCGATGGGCTGTTTTTTGTTTTTTTTCGTCTCGACCCGTCCTGGCTCCACCCCCAAAAACGCACGGCGCTGCTATTACTGACTGCAGGTTCAATGAACAAAATGGCTTTTAGTGTTTACATTAGTACAAAAAAGAACCTCCCGGAGACACGGGTCAATAAATCAATCAATGCGTTCTGTCCGTTCCACCTGGTACACGCAAAACAGCCGCAAAAAAAAGGCAGAGGGAGCTCCGCGGATGATGCAAGCTGTGATGCTGCGTTACCGTGGCAACGCTGAAGCTGGACGTTGCGGTCCCCCCTCCCCGGCTCTGCTGCAGTCCTACCGCTGTGGTATTGCTTTGAACAGATGAGACCCAGAGGTAGCAGCGTCGGCTACAACACCGCAAAGGGTCCTGGGAAACGGAGTTTAGTGAGGTTGAAGATTGCTTCCGGGTAGAGTTGGCTTCGTGACGCCGCTCAGTGGGGTTTGTGAGTCGAGTTGGGGGAAAACGGGGCGGCCCAGGTCTGACGTCTGTGTCCACCGGGGGGCGTCGTAGGCAACGCCTCACAGTAGCTAGCATGTCTGAGGTTTCCAACAGCGAAGGAGATGCGTGTGGAGTTTGTTTTGCGAGTTTTGAACAAATCTTCTTTGTCGTAAAGTTTCAGTTGGCTGCAGTGGTTTGTAACATTTCTTACAGGAGTCCTTTTAAAGCCTTAAAGCAATAGTACACGGTACCATTTTCACTTTGTAACTCACTCTGTAATAGATCTGGAACAACTGAGCTGTCGGTTTCTTGGAGCACACACGTAAAGCTGAAGTCTGTTAACTTCTGGCTAAAACCGATTCGACTGCTGATCTGTGAGCGTCATTTCATGCATCAAAACAATTTCACAGCTCATTAGCGCTGATCCAGGAAGAGCGCACGATACAGTCAGTCACTGAATGGATACCGGGTTTTGCTGATTTGACCGTCTCCGTGTCCCTGCACACCTCTGTACCAGCAGCTAACGGTTTCAATAAGAGCAACCTGGAAGTTTTATTGCACGGTCTGGTCGTGTGGTAGTTAACGATGCTTGGGATGTTATTCATGTCATATTGCTGACCCTGTGTGTTATTTTAAGCTACAACCGTCTCAGTTTAGCAGAGTCCTGGCCTTGCACCAGGTGGATAGCAGCAGCAGCAGCAGCAGCAGCGTGTGGTGGTAAGATCAGAGGTAGCTGGGAGCCACGGTGCACCCCGCTGCAGCCTGTTCAGAGTAATAGCAATAATCATTTATACCTGAAAGCACCTTTACTGCTCTCGTAGTGTCACGTTTGGCTGCAAGGAACAACTCTTTTCAGCTAAAAAGAAATCCTCTAAAATCCCACGTTATGCTACCAGCTTAGCACCAAACGTCAGATAAATAGAAGTGGAAAACAACCGCGGAGCGTTTAGCAGCTCAGGAGACAAATAGTCGTTAGTAAAGGCCAAAAAAAAAAAGGACCAACAGAGGAGTGAATTCAACAAACACACTTCCTCAGATTAATGCTGCTTTATGCCTGCTGGATGTACAAGCGGGCAAGTGTCCACCATGTAAACGATAGAGGGTGAAAATGTATTTACAGGTGTTCTGCTGCCCCCAAGTGTAAAAAAGATGCTATTGTGGGATAGATGTGATAGATGCAAACATAACGGCAGGTGCACAGTGACAGAAAGACCCGAACAAGAAAGGTCTCCTTCATTAAAGTCAAGTGACCTTCCTCGGTTCGGTGAGATCACACGTTTCCTCATCACAGGGACTCTCGCCGTCTTTCTCTCGGCTAATTGCGTGATCCACTCAGTGACCCTCGTACGTCGTTCGCTGTTGCTGGATCGGAGCTAATGAGCCTCTCAGGGACTAAGATGTTTTGAGTTACAGGAGCTGATTAGTCAGGACTTTGATATGTAGCACGTCGATCAGAGCTAACGATATCATCAAAGAGCGAGCTAGCTCCCTGTTGGACTACAACAAAAAATCATCACTGGACCGGCCCGTTTACCCACTCGTGACCTTTTGACCTTAACATCCTCTTCCTGTAGTTGCTGCTGTTCACCTGAGGAGGGCAGCACTGGTCCTGCCAGAGGAACAAGAGCCCCTCCAAAAACAACAACAACAACATCCAGTCATCCTCAGCATCTGTAACTGTAAACAAACAAACAAACGAACAAACAAACAGGTTGCGGTCTGAAGGGATCAGACCCTGTGCTTACTTCCTGTCAAACAGCCAAATCGTTAAAACATCAAATCTTCAAATAGAATATATTCATAAATCCAATCTGATTGGATAAAACACTATATATGATTTTTGCTTTTTATACAAAATGAGAAAGTAGTATTTTGTGTTGTTGTTGTTTTTTTTTTTTATACATATATGTATATACAGATATAGAAAAGTGACCGCACTGAGTCTGCTGTGACGTAACCGTGGGCAACAGGACAGAAGACAGTATTTACACTGAACAGAAAATTTAACAATTTAAAAAAAATAGATATTAAAAAAAAGAAGGGAAAAGAGGGATGTGGTGGTCGTTGTGGTGTTTTAAAAAAAACATGCCGCAATCCCACGATCTCGCTTTAGAGACAAAAAAAAGGTGAGGGAGGGGCTCAGGTCACATGACTGAAAGAGGGAGCGAGGACGTCTGAAGTGGGGCAGTTCCATGAGTTACCTGTTTAAAAACCATGAATACTGCTAAAGCTGACCTAATCCTGAGACGCTTTTACCACATTCCATAAAAGTCTGAATGTTTTTTTTTTATTGTTACTGCTAATATTCAACGACCATTTTCACTGGAGCTGTGAAGTGCGGCTTAAGAGGCTTTTTTTTTTTTTTTTTTGTCCGTCTGTCGGTAATATCCGGCGTTAAAATTGTCAGATTTGACAGCGAATGCAATTATTAGCAGTTAGTCAGCAGAGTACGTGTTTATATTAACTCTCGTCATTTATCTCCCTCCGTCTCTCGGGGTTTTGCTAAAGTAGTGAGGATTAGGGTCAAACTAAGGCATCAAGATGTAGAAACGAAAATGAACTGACCAACTGGAACAACAGCAGTGTGTGTGTGTGTGTGTGTGTCTGCACATCAGTGTGTTTCTTCAGTCCTTGATTGGCTGGTTGGTTTGCTGAGGTGCTGCGGTGGTGGTTTGTGGTTTTTTTTTTTTTGACCAGACAGTTTTTTTGTTTTTGTTTTTGTGGACAGAAAAAAAGGCACCTAGTTCCTCCTCCTCCTCTGCTCATTTAGAAACTCCTCCAGCGCCAGGCGACCGGCATGTCTTTTCCGACGCAACAGACGAGACACCCAAGAAGACAAGTCGTCCGCTCGGTGTCCGACGAGATTCGAGTTCCCCAGTTTAACCGTCCCCTCGGCGGAAACAGAGGAGAAGGGACGAAATAAAAAGAATGATCTGGAGGGTGGAAGAGTAAAATTCAGTGGTGCTGTGTACAGGTGGTGAAGTATACAAGGGTACAAGACGCGTATCCTTCCCGACGCTCCCCTCCTCTGGTCGCCGCAGAGATGCCAACAAGTCGTCTGCTCCTCCTCGGGCGGGCGAACCAGCAGGAAAGAGATGCGTCCGTGTGTTTCACAGGCCCCGCCTCCTCTGCCTCCGTTAAGTTCTCCTCAGCCAATGGGAGTCCCTCCACAACGGCACAATTCTACTCTGTGTGTGTGTGTGTGCGCACCCACGCACACTCCGCGGACGAAGAGGAAAAGGTGAGAGGAAGAGGAGGTGCTAGAAGGAGGTGAATGTGGAGTTTTCGTGTGCTTCTCGGTTAAGCTCCTCCTACAAGACGGGCTCTTCTTCCATTGGCTCCTCTGTTGACCTGCGGAGAGTTTAAAAACAAATGAGCGACTCGTGTCAAAATATTCGCAAAGAACTGACATGTAAGTCTTTATAGGATATTATTTCATACCGTACACCTAATGAGAAACAATGTGGTGAGAATGGAGATCCACAAGCGTTCAAATATACAGTTACTCAACTCAGTACGCTCAGAGGGTTAGCTGCTACAGAGCTGGTGTGACAAGCAGCTAGCGGCTAACACTGGCTAATGGTAGCTGTGTTTTGTTAATAATATTTTATGATGTATTCAGTTAGTTTGCTGAACTTTTTTCACTGTACCCCAACTATTGGGGACCATAACTGGCGAACTCAGAATCATGCTTTATTAAAGTCTGGAAAGTAGCAACTGAGACCATGAACTCATGAGGAAAATGTTTACTTGGCTAACTTATAAATGGAGAAGTGGGGTCATTTGCTCATAGACCTTTGTACAGTCGTATTTCTTTTCCCAAACCAGAGGAATCACCTCCTGCTGGCCATTAGAAAGATGCAGGTTAAAGGCTCCTCCACTTTGGCTCCACGTTGCAGATGCAAAGGCTACATCTGTCTTTTACAAACAGCCTGCAGCTGATTTAATTTTTTATAAAGGCAGTATTTTTTGCTATTTAATTCATGGTTCAACCATTGACATCAGCACTTTAAATGCTGTTTGTGTGCGAACCACCACATGCACAGGCTCGCATCACACTGCTCTCCTCTGTATGTTCTCCTGGTGCTTTGCCTCCTACAACAGGGTGCCGCTGACCTGCTGGTTTCCGTGTTGTCAGGAACGGAGCCTGGCTGCTCCACGTCGACACTCAGTGAGGCCATAGCGCTGACCGTTTCTGCCTCGTCCTTCTCCGATTGGCCCTGAGCCCCCAGGGGGCCGTCCAATAGCGAGTGGCCGCTGGTCTGAGACAAACTCTGGAGACAAGACCAGTGTTTACCTGAAGGGACAGAAAGAGACATACGTTGAAGAAGACGGCATGAGACAGGGTCATCGCTGTATGGATTCACTGTTTGAGCTTCTTACTCTGGATCTCTATTACTCTCTCCAGCGAGGCGCAGGCTTTTGGACATGGCTGCTCCTGAGGCCACTGAAACACAGAGTCGCACTGAGAGACACAGAGAGAGAGAGAGAAAGTGTTAATGGATGTAATAAGAGTCTGTACTACTTGAGCGAACACAATGCTCATCACTGAGGATTATAATACCAACGACAGAAAGCTTCTTTAACTCTTGTGAAAAAAAACGATTTATTCGCTTTCTTGGTGGGGATTTAGTGGATGGAGTAAGGACGTGGGTAGTCTAGTTTAGCATAAAGGCTAACAGAAAGGAGAAGCAGCTCGACTGGCTGTGTCTAAAGCAAAAAAGCTTTTAATCTTATTTGTTTAGGTTGTAAGTCAATGAGAGACTCTTTCGACGGTGGGCGACACCTCCAGATTGAGAAAGTCTCAGGTTAAGATGAAAATTTTATTTAACATTGTTAAAAGCTCTCCGTCTCTCACCGGGTCTCCCAGGAGCGCAGCGACGCAGGCCTCCGATGCGTCACAGATAGCTGTGAGGTCGTGACCGCCCTCCAGCGCCATAACAACCCGCCCACCCGCCAGACCCATCAGCAGCTGCGTTAGTTGACCGAAACCTGCCAACACACATCCATCACCGTTAAAAAAAAAAACAACAAAAAACACCACGTTTATAAGCCATCACGTCATAGGGGTATGGTCGCCACGGCAACCAGCACCGTACTCACATTTGGCGGACACGTTGTAGCCTCCCAGAGGAGACTGATGACCCTCCACTGCGTCAAAGCCAGCCGACACCAGCACCACGTCTGGACTGAACTGCTGGGCGATGGGCATCACCACACTCCTGCACACACACAGAACGGACATTTCAAAGCGTGATGGTTCCTGAAGGAATGTTTCTGCTTCACTACATCTGTAAAAGTTTGACTTCTACTGCTGGAGACTTTTAACAAGGATATGAACGAAAAATTAGCAACTGAGAGCGGAGCAATTTAGTCGTCTCTCGTGAAGCAGAGTCACACTACTGATGAATATTTGACGACTAAAATGTTTTCTTAAAGCTGAAACATCTCACATCGAGGTGTTTTAATACTAACAGGGCTGTTTTTCTGACTCAGGATGTGTGTTTTTGGGTGACTTCACACAACAGTAAGCACGATCGGTCCATGTACAGTGAAGGTAATGAGTCTATGTTACCTTATTGGACAAAAATCTACACATTTTCCTTTTAATTCAGACCATTTGACAAACAAAAATGTCTCTAATCAAAACCTGTAAACAAAACTGGTTAGACATTTGAATGTTGTATGCTCGGTTCTAATCACATTGGTGCGTATCACTTTGATTTAATGCTGACTAAAACCTCTTTTTTGGGTGCAAAATGCAGAAAAAAACCCTCTTTAAGTTGCACAGCCATTAGCAAACTAGTGTTCACTTTTTCATTGACTCTGGATACATTAATGACACTAAAAAGTAGATTTATAACGTGTAAATCTCAAAACTACTACGAATAAATAAAGGTGATGTTTACCTGAAGGCAGTCAGGTACTCCACATCACCCATAGGGGGCTCCACTCCTCCAGTCCACGCTATGTTCACATTAAAACCGACACCAGCTCCTGATCCCACCTGCAGAAAACAAAAGAGAAGTGAAAAATTAGTATGTTTATTTAATAATTCTTGCTGATATCAAGACAGCAACTGCTGGTCAAAGTCACTGATGTTCTGCTTGACTGGTAGAAGATATTTTCCTTCTCTTTTTGATTAAAGCTGAAGGATGTGAAGCTACAACACAGAATCCAGATCATTTCAAATGGCCAAGGGCTGGGCTGCAAAATCAGCCTTTTCAAAACATTTGATTCCATTTTTTTTGTCAGACTTTTCTGTTGTTTTAACATCCAATCAGAGCATTTCGTTGTTTTTGACTGGACAGACACAGAAAAAATAGAAACATCTCATTTCTAATAAAGACACAGTAGTGGTGGCATCAGAAACAGAATTGTTGCTTCCATCAAAATGCTTCCTGCATGTTCAGACATTCATGTCATGCTACAATAAAACCTTCTCAACTAGTTCTGCATCCTCACCTCTACATTGTTCACAAATTTATGCCCCGCAGTTAGTGCAGAAAATGTTTGTTCTAAACCATCACAGAGAGACATTGCTGCATTGTGGAGGCATTCTGGCCAGTCATCACAATGAGCTGCTTGAGGGTTCAGACTTTTGATTCGGGCTTCTCAAAGACTGCATCCACACTGAACATACATACATACACTAAAAAACATTTTCTGTGATCTATAACTTGTTGGTGACGTCGGAGTTTATTCACAACAAACCTGCCCCCAGATGAATGTGGTTTGAATGCGGTTTATTTCCCATTTGTTGACACTGCGGTCATGGTGATGGTAAATGCTGGAAAGATTGTTGTGTGTTGTTGCGGATGATGTTCACTCATTAACGTTACACCAGAGAATTAACAGCTTCTAAACTGCAAAGCGTGCATTGTTATCTCCGGTACACAGTTTTCACAACAAGAGCAAAAGAATACGTCCATGTCAGATGTAAGTGGCTTTTTGAGGGAGATTATTGGTGTAATCAGAAATTCTGGGGTCACACTGATGATGTGACAGATTGCAGGAAAACTGTCGAATGTTCTCCTGAATGTTTGTTGCTTTTTACTTCAATAAAAACCAGATGCACACCCATGAATTTTGACTTTTCAAGCTGGTAAAGGTGTGCATTATGTAAACCGGTGTCCTCACAGCTACAGAAAACACAACGCGTGGTGCTTTGAAGTACCTCCTCAGGAGCTCCGCTGCCAGGAAAGAAATTTCCATCGTCGTAGCGATGGAGGGAGATGTAGAGGACGTTGGGGTCGCTGTAGAAGGCCTGCTGGGTGCCGTTGCCATGGTGAATGTCCTGCAGTGACGGGTCACAGTGGCATCAGAAAGAAGGTCAGTTATGATGATGCAGACACAATGAACACACGGTCATCATTTTATCCAGATTAGATTCGTCAACAGCACAAGAGCAAAAATAGGAAACAAGGGACTATAATTACAGTTTAGTTGCCCCATAATGAAGCAAATACTTTACCTATTAGTTGGATATTTACCTCAAGTGTTTTCCAACAGCAGAAAATAAATATACCGTAATTTTCGGACTATTGAGTGCACCTGAATATAAGCCACGAATTTTAAAAAGAAAACACATTTTGTACATATACAGGCCACACTTGTCTGTAGACGCGGGTGTCCACGTTGTAACATGAGATAGTTACACAGAAAGATTTTTTTAATTTTTATTTAAATATGTACCGGTAACATACACAAATACATAAACGCTCTTATCCGAACAGTGCCTGTAACACGGCTGGTTAAAGTCACTGATCGCTATCGGAATTAAACAGCCTCACTTCATCACACACTTCCTCCGTCTCTCTTTCGTCGTCGCTCTCAACGTCACTTTCGAGGCAAATTCGTAAAAATCCATAAATTAGCCGCATCATTGTTTAAGCCGCAGTGTTCAAAGCGTGTGAAAAAAGTAGCGGCTAATCGTCCAGAATTTACGGTCGTCTTCTTTAGATCCAAATGACTTAATGTAGTCAAGAAACCAGTAGCTGTGCTTCACTGTCTTCCTTCCACTATTGTTCCACCAGTGGGTCTGTCATCACATATGCCACGCAGCCAGACACAGAACTTTACTTTTTAGGAGTGCAAATATACCAAACTATTTATGAAATTATACTCAAAACATCCTGCCACTGTCACATTTATAGACAGAGCAGCTTTTAAAAAAAAATAAAAATAAAACCCCATCCTTTTCATGTTATGCTGTGTCAGCAGTTATGGAGCAACATTAGCACCAACTTCAGTGGTGTGAGTCTGAATGTCAGCCAGCTAGTTGCAAGCTGTGTCTGTCTGCTGTTGGGTGCTGAGCAGGTAGAGTTCTGTGTCTTTTTAGAGCTGCCATGTGGTCACAAATAACACTGAACCAAAACAGTGAAGTGAAACTCTCTGTAATATTTAGCCGAAAGCTTCTCTGTCAGTGCATCATAACCACCTTTTCCATCTTCAAAATCATCCTTAGAGCTGCTTTAAACGTACTTAAAGGGGCGCCGAAAGGAAACTAGGATCATAGGAGACCCTACAGTAACTGGTTCGCCAGCATGAGTGTTTTGTTTTTTTTTTACGGCAGGATAAAAGCTTTTATCAAACATCTCCGGTGATTAAACGTTCCCTGCGGAGTTTTTGACCACCATTAACGCCGCCTTCATGAGTGGGTCCCTGTTTTGTTTATTTCATAAACACACAAGAAGAGTGACGCAAAGCCCATTCCGGCTCATGATTTCACAGTATTCCAGTGATTAACAGCTGGCGTTGTGCTCAAAAACACACTAATGTGCCAGCGAAGACGAGGAGGAAGACTCAGAGCTGGTAAACACGGATGTGAGCAACGTAGGTTTTAAATTTAAAAGAAAAAAAAAAAACTTTGCTCATGCTTGAGGAGGAAGGAAATGCATCCACACGTTTGTTAGAATATATAGAATCATGGGAAACCTTCACAGAGCCTCTCTAAATCCAAGAGGTCTAACTTTAAGGGTAGATTATGAGCGCTTTGTGAGTCCGGCCAACTTTTTTTTTTTTTTGACCAGATGTTCAGCTGGGCCAAATGACCCTCCAGATGCTTTTTTGTAGAACACGCAACATAGAGGATGGAAGGAATCAGCTGGCCCGTGAAAAAAAACAATTAATGGCGCACGCTCAAGTTTATTTGTCTAAATCCTGTGACTTTTTAAATACTAACCGGGCACTCAAATGATAACGGAGGGCACTTGAGAGAAGGAGAAACATCCAGTTATGTCATGTTTGGAAAATGAATCAGATTTTAATGAAGTGGTTTCTGAGCAGAGGTAAACAAGAATCACCTGGTTGCAGCTCAGCAGTTTGTAGCTAGTTTTGGTGATCAATAAATGCGACGCCCTGCATGAACTCAGGTTGTGGCTTTGGCTGGAGAAGCTTTTATTCTTCACTGTGCTCATGCTGAATCTGGTGTGCAGCTTCTCCACCAAATCCTATTCTACGCTGGCTCGTACACTACGAGTATTTGGAAGGAAAACTACGCGCTGCAGTCAAATATCTGCTTTGGCAAACAAAAGGAATTTGATTAAGCTGCTGCAACTGAGGACAAATGTCTGACGGTGGGTGTGCCTGACTTCTGAGGAGGGGCTCTTTGCTCATAGCGGCAACACATCACTTTATTTGATTGGCCGCGACTAGATAAATTAAACTACAGGCAGTAAAGACCCACAGTTCTTCATAACAAGGCATGATGATACTCCGTTCAGAGTAAATGAGACCGCTGAAGAGTCCCCACAGCAATAAATCATTGAAAGACTTGGTCTTAATGTAGAGTAAATATGAAATATTACGACGAGCTAATAAACAGAAATGATTAAAGATAAAATGAATGTTCTCTGACGTCACTGAGGAATGTGTCAGCGCTACTCACCCAGTCGACAATGAGGATCTTGCCCACTCCGAGTTTCTGTTGCAGCAGCTTGGCAGTTATGGCGACTGAATTGAAGAAACAAAACCCCCTGTTCACACAGGACACGAAGAGACAAACAAAAAAGTCTTAGTCACAGCCCAGATGTCGTGAAATATCTGTTCATGAAAGAATAATCTGGTTCGTGTACTGACATGGCGGTGGATTCCTCAGCATGGTGGCCTGGCGGACGCACGACTGCGAAACCGTTCTGGCACGAAAACAGAGCGAAGGGCAGGTCAGGTGACGCGTGAAGTTTATTTTCAGAGCGAACTTGTGAGTATTTACGCGCGTGTTACCTTCAGCTCCCCTGCGGCCACTCTGAAGGCCAGCTCGATGACGGAGCCCACCGCCATGCGGACCGCCGCTGACGAGTGCATCTCGTTCCACACGGTGTCGCTGTCCACCTGCAGGGGGCAGCACAGAGCTCAGCCTACAACTCATAGACATACAGGCACAGTTGGACAGACGGGAAAGTAAAGGAGACAGTCTCACCCCTATTCCTCCGCAGGGAAGAACGGCGTACATCTTCTGACTGATTGGACCTGAAGAAACAGAGGAGAGGTTATAGAGCATGTCATGGAGCATTGTGATGCATTATAGAGAAGTTCCTACAGCCTAAAACAGCGGTTCCCAACCACCGGGCCACGGACCAGCACCGGGCTCCACAGAAAGAAAAAAACAAAACATATTATGGGTTTATTTTTTTTCTAGCGGAGTCTGCAGGGTGTTTTATTTTGAAAAATGACCGGCTCATCTTCCCGTCGCATCCGTCTGCGCTTGTTTCTCACACTTGACTGTTTTTATCCGTTAAACGAAGCCGTCAGTCTAACAGCTGCCCAAATTAATAAAAAAACAAACAGCTTCTTTGGAAAGTGGGAGACTCGATACTGAGACGAAAGAAAAAGCAAACACGTATTTAGCAAGTAATTTTATTCATTTATGAAACTTCTTAATAGAAAAAACTATTATTTTTTGTTACGTAAGCGATGAACGGTCCGTAGAAAATGTTCTTGCTTAAAACCGGTCCGTGGTGCAACAAAGGTTGGTGACCGCTGGCCTAAAGGTTTCTATTTGAAATGTATTACAGTTGTAAACATTGATATCGGTCTTGTTTGGTTGTTTGTTGTTGTAATAGGGGATAAGAAAACAATCAATACAAAAATGTCCGTGACTTCAAAACAACAAAAACACATTCACCAGGAAAAAACGGAAGAACTACGATAACGAACTTAAAACATTTCCTTCAACCAGATCACAGACTGTGACTCACTACCGAGCTATAGGGGAGCCACGGGGAGCGCGTCTCCTCTTAATAAGACACGAGCTCCCCCTGCAAAAGTCATTTGTGATATTTCACAAGATCAATCACGGATCATGGATAAAATGAGGCCGTTATTGATGTATGACTCATGCATGAGGGTGATTCATCACTAATTCATTTTAATAAAGATAGCAGCATGAATGCCGCTCCCTCCCTGACAATCAAAGCGTGATGCTGCAATAACAAAAACTTCACTCAGAGATCAGAAAAAACTTTTTTTGATGCCAACGCGCCATAAAACCAAACACAAGAAGAACAAACTTTCCCACCCTGCCCGTACGCCAAATCACCATTATTCATTCCTCTGCTTTGTAGTCAGAATACGTCAAGAGGAAAAACGAGGCAGCCTACTCATGAATTTTGGATTCACCAAAAAAATCCAAATCAAAGCCAATTGTCTTTGAAGAGCAACCAGAGCCGTGTTCTACCACAAACTGCACCGCTTGGACTGGCGATGAGTAAAAGCTAAATCAAGCGGCTGTTAGATGTGTGTATCTGTTGTTTCTGACCATGAAAAAGTGCAAAAAAAATAAAAAAAATAAAATAAAGCTCCCTTGAAACCTGTGGTGTAGTTCACTGGCTGCTCACAGGTCTGTAATCGAGTTGAAGTAAATGTTTCAAGAAGGTTTTTCTGTCGCCAGCACATCTTGGCAGACTGAACCTCTGCTTGGGACTCAACAGGCTTTTTTTTTTTTCTTCACAGCAGACGTGTGACAGCAGGAAAAGCACAGGTGTAAATAACAAGACGAATGTGGCTGAATTCCATTTAGTTCCCTCGGTTTCAGTCCCAGGGTCATGCTATGGTACATGCTCGCTTACTGTCACTGTCACTGTCTACTGGGATACTTGGAATAAACAGTGCAAAGTGCAACTCCAAGGTACTTTCACTGAAGTATTTCCATTTTACGCCACTTTTTGAATCATTAACTCCAACCATTTTGCCTTGAGAAGGTTTACGGAAAAGTTTTAACTGGAATTTCTGGTGGATTAATCGTAGCAACTGGACTTGCTTGAGTTCCTTGAAGACGTTTCACCTCTCGTCCAAGAGGCTTCATCAGTTCTGACTGACTAGTTGGGAGTTCCAGATACTGACGACTGAGAATCTTCATCGACACGTTTCAGATGTCTGTGAGCTCTCCACCAACGAAGCAGTTTCCCTCCTAAAAACTCAGATTTTATCCAAATATCTCTCCGAGTCCCAAAAAGGTCGAATTAGTCAGTGTTTCACAAATAGCACCAATTATAGGGCAGCCACAAAAGAGAAGAAACTAATTTGCTGAGCAGAATCTGATCGAGCTCTGATAACGATCTCGCAACCTCTAAAATCTATCTCGTGACGGGACTCGGCACCGAGTCGAAAGTGACTGAAGCAAACCTCTTAACTGTGTACAAAGCGGTTAAAACCAGCCATTTGTTTGCAGAATCACTACTTTCACTGCTGATACATCGAGTACAATTTGCGTGTATTTAAGTAAAGGATCTCAATACTTCAGGGTTTCATCAGCACCACTTTTCTTGTTCCTCTACAATTTCCTCCTCCCTCCACCGTTACCACAGCGCAGAGAACACTGCAGGACTTGGCCAGACTTCAGGTTCTGGAACTACTTTGTCTCTTCTTTAAACCCTTATCATGGACTTGCTTTAGTCCTGAACATGTGAGTGCAGACAAGAAGACAGACAGATAGATAAAGACAGGAGGGTACCCAGCAGCTTCTTGTGGTCCAGCTTGTGCCGATTGAGCGGACTGGTTCCATACAGCAGCGTGTGGAACTCTGAATGGACGGACTGGATCTCATCCAGAGACGCTTTACGCCCACGAATCCTCTGCTCACACACAGACAGAGAGGGAGGCTGAGTAAGGTCTGTGCACATTTTAAATTTGCACGTAAGAGAAAGAGAATATTACACATATTTGGCAATTGCTAGGATTAAAAAAAAAAACAACCATTGTAAAAAATCTTCTACGCAGCGTGTGCCGGGACAGCCTGCAGTGTGTTCCAACCGCCACACATTGTGGGTGTAGCTCTACTGTTTAGTACAAAGGTCATGTTTGGAAACTTAAGTGTGAGTGCGTGTACCTCGCAACGGCCCAGCAGGCCCGTCTCCTGCAGTCTGGACCAGATGCTCTGCACTCTCCCAGCATGCTCCGGGTGGATGTGAGCGTTGCCGCACACACACTGATGCTTCAACATCAGACTGTCGTACACCAGCCCTGAAGAGAGAGAGAGAGAAAAACCAGACGTGAACACCACACGCTGCACTCTCCAATAAGAGCCAATAATACTCCCGTAACAGCGCAGAGTGGTGGGTTGTACACATAAACACACGGAGGCTGGTTAAAAAGGAATACAATAAAACAACTAAGGAAAAAACTACACATTTAAAGGTTAAAATAATTTCCACAGCATCAAGGACGTCCGTGCAAAAGCAGCTGTAGTACCTAAAAAGAACCACAAGATGTCAGTATGAGCGAGGCATCAGAACACTTGTAGCAGATGTACATGTTTTTAGAGCAGTTATTAACTCACTGCTTTCTGATGGACAATAACACGTTAGAGTTTAGAGACACTGCATTAAAGCCATCTCACACCAACGTGCATTATGAGCTGTAGATGACACTCATTTTTAAAACTGCACATTAGTAACACAATTAAATGACACAAGATGATCCTATATTTATCCTGCAGTGGGGGAAATTTGCAGCAAAGAAGCATCTTGCACCAAAGTGCTTTCCGGTATGGAAATGAGATCGGTGTCGTGAATTTGCCTACTGACTTTAAATATTAAGATCAAGACCCTACAGTGTTGTTTATCATGTGAATTTGCATAACTAGTTTTAATATTATGGTTAAAAGTCCTCAAAAATAATGTAAAATACTAACACACATGACTAAATTAAATATTGTGGTGAAGACAAATGGACCTCACTAGCTTACATGTTGACGTTTGGAACAATGACGACAATTTAAATGGTTAAATGGTTACTTCAGAAGAAAATATATTCCTTTCACGAGGGGAGTAAACATGATTACTGGCCGTAATTCTTACTCTTATTATCAAATCCTGGCATACTCAAAGAGACAGTGAGAAAAAATATATAATATACTAATGTAAAGGACATGAAGGTCAGAAATGATGCAATGTGAGACTCCGATATCTTATTCTTGCATTTAAAATGTTAATTTAGTCATAATTACATGTCAACCAATAAATTCAGACGTGCACAAACGAATGCTGGCTTTCTCTCTTTCTGTCAACTATCAGCATCTTGTCTGAATAAACTTCATGAACCCAAGTGTGTGATCTTCACACTGTTGAGCAGAGAAGTCACAAGTTCCAGTGCTGCAGACTAATCTGAGCGTCCTATAATTTCACAGGCATAAACAGACTTTATAACAGCGATTGTTTGGATCACAGGGATTTAGGAAGCCTCACACTGAACGTGTGTGTATTCACCCCCTTTGATCAGACATCAAACATATTTTAAAAACAGAAAAGTGGCTACAACAGACAAGACACTACTTAAGAATTTATGGCATTTCATTCAGTTCACTTGGTTAATGTGAACCGTCACCAAGAGAGTCAGCTCCTTGTTGCCAGGCAACAAGCATGCAGGCTTATAGTAGGCGGATTGACACTGTCAAACTCTTATCCAATCAGAAACCAGATGTGGACACACACAAAAAAACAGGATGCAAAAACTGACCGGTAGTGAAGAGGTGTTTGATGGGATTGACGGTGGCTGCAGGGGAGGACTGCGCTCTTCCCAGAGGTCTGTGGGGCAACGAGGACTGGAACACGCCCAGCTGCTGCAAGGCCTGATGGGACGGGGAGGCAGAGAGAAAGTTATGATTCATTGCAGAAGGATGAATCAGAGATCAGCTCATTCACTGCAGCGACGGAGGACGGTGTGTGTGCACGTATGTGTGTACGAAGCAGGACGGCATATTAAACACTCAAAGCCCTCCTGTCGCTGCTTCCTGCCATCGCGCGCGCACGCCGAAATTACTCGAATTCAAAGTGCACCATTCACAAAAAAAAATCTGCGCCGCGTGCCATGTTGGCTGATTTAACAGACTGAAACTGATAAAAACTGCTCCTACTACACGTTTTGTGAGGATGACAACGAACGCGGGCTCGTGTTTTGTTTTCATGACACATTGATTGTCCTGAAATTAAAACTGATCACCAACCCCCTCAGTGTGTGTGTGTGTGTTTGTGATATTAAGGTTCGTGTAAGCACTGCAGTCACACACACACACACACACACACACACACACACACACACACACACAGACACATTGTGTAGTGTCTATATATAGGGAGTGTTGCTGTGCTCCCTGCTGTGAACTGGGTGACTCATCATGTGTGGGTGGACACTGAAACACACACACACACTTGAAGATATACAGACATACAGGACACACACACACACACACACACAGCGGTGAGTCCAGTGGTTGAGTCACCAGCTGGTGATGTCACTGCAGCATCAACAATTGTGTGTGTGTGTGTGTGTGTGTCAGTCTTTCAGCTCAGGTTCGACTTGACACCCAGCGGTGACGGTTTGTCTTTCCTCCACGAGTCCAAACAGACAGTCTGCAACTGACATCATTTTTTTATACTTTTAACCAATATATTGATTATTTACACATTGATCAATTCATTGTTTAGTTTATAAAATTTCAGAAAATAATAAAAAATGCTTCCCAAATCCCAAGATGACGTCCTCAAATGTCTTGTTTTGTGCATAACCGAAATATATTCTGTCATAGAGGAAGGAAATATTCACATTTAAGTACGTGGTAATCTTGAAAATTTACTAAAACCAATTAACCGATTATGTAAATACTGGGTGATTAATCTAATGCTTGACATTTAATTGACTAATTGAATAATCGTTGCAGCTTTATTATTACAGTCAGAGCCATATAGAAGTGTCCTGAGCCAAAAAAACAACAAGCAGTCCTGCAACAGATGGTATGGCCCCCACAGAGCCATGATCTCAACATCATGTAGTCAGTCTGGGATTACAGCCTAAATCCACAGAAGATGCTTGTGTGCGATTGCACCTTCGGACGCATCCTCACGCTGATTATCAGCGCTTTCCGCAGCACTGTATATGCATCGCAGCGATGACGTGACGTTTTTATTAAAATCCCATCTTTTTCTTCTTTTGGTAAAATGTCAAACCTTTCTCCTGATGACTCATCCTCTCAAAAAGAGGCTGCTTCATCCTCAAACACATGCACCACCCACAGTGCACACGGGTTGGAGGTGTGTATTTGGGTATGATGAGGCAGGAGATAAAAAAAAAAAGGAGGAGAAGATCACTTCAAAAAGCATTTGAAGTGTGTAGGTTAAGGTTTTGGACGCCATGTGACCGCTCCCGCTGATGTTCGAGGGGGTTTAAAAACCTCAAGGAGCTCGGCAAAGGTTAAATGTTGCATCTAAACACACCGCAAAAGGGCCAAAGCCAGGAACCAGCTGACTGCCAACGTGCACAAACATCACACATATGCCATCTATTTACAATGCTCTGCTCACGAGACACCCGAGGCAAGCGTCACAAGACCGACTGAAGACACTTAAAGGGGACATCCACCTATTTTTGACATCAAACGTCTGGTCTTGTTGAGTGCTACCACACATGTAGAAAAAGATTGTACCGAGCTGCATGAAATATAATAAACGTCCTGAAGTGACGTGAGTCTGCGTCAACCAGAAATCTGAAGCCAGAAAGAGCTGGCAGCGTGGAGCCATGAAGAAGTGAGCTCATCAGACCTCAATAGACCTGCTTAAGACACATCTAGATCTCTATATAACTGGTCTGCAGTTCAGCTGCGTTGTGAGTAATACAGATGAAGTCCCTTTTTTAAAAATCTTTTGTTGCATGAAGTTTCGCTGACCAAACCAAACACATAAAGTTTTCCAGGGGGTCAGAGATTTGCTCCCCTACTGGTAGGTCAGTTATTCAAATGACAGAGTTAATGTGGAGTAAATCTGATTTCTCTCCTGTAAAGAAGAGCTCAATGAAATAACTTTAAGACGTCACTATTCAATCTTCCTGAACGCTGCTCGTCACTTTCTCTAAGTCAGTTATTTAAGAACACTGTGATGGAAAAATATGCTTTGTCACATTTCTTTGGTAAATTAAACGCATGTACTTTGGGTTTTTTTTCTTACAGAGAGCAGATAAGACGCGTTATGTAACGACACCACCAAAGCGTAATAACAGGAAAAAAAAAAAAAAGCCCGAGAGGAATACTCAAGAGTGATACGCAAATGCACTGCAGCTCAGAATTTCTATGTGTGAAAAACAGTTGTGCGAGGGCGAAAAAGCACCTAAAGCCTTCTCGGGTTTAGACTGAAGTAAGAGGCCGACCATTAGCCGGGGATGAGTCAGACGAGCTAACGCAGAGCAACCGCTGCAACAGAGCAAACACGGTGAGACAGAAAACAGCAGGAGGTCGGCCGATGATGCATTCGAGTGATTCATCCCTCTGTGGGATGATGCTGCGTAACCAACGTGTCCTGAGTTGAAGACTGACCTGTTTCCCAACCTTTTTTTTTTTTCTTTTCGCCTGACACACACCCCACGTCGCTATCAGATGAGCCGCTCCTTAATCGATTCCACCCATCGTGTTCCAAATGTGTTCTGTTACACTGATTCTGAAGTCAGTGTCGAGTAAAAAAAAGTCTTTTACTGTGTTTTTATTAAACAAGTTGAAATGTTTCGGTTGATTTTGTTTGCAGCTTGAACCAGAGCTCATTAGCTTCACTGCTTATCTTAATACTGAAACTATTATTACTTTTTTAGCTAATTATTGAAACTACTGATTAATAAGTTTTATCTTATTTATACTAATAACACCTTCAAATGTTTATTTATCATTTGTGGCTGATTATAACCGATGTCTATCTGTTACTTTAATTGTTTATTGCTTTGAGCTAATTATGTCAATATTTGGCTATTAGTTTTAGCTAATTACGTAACTTGCATATGTTGCTTTTAGCTAATTATTTCTAACGTTTATCTCTAATTCTAGCTAATTATACAAATCCTTTATCTATCATTTTTGCCCAATTATTTCTATTTATTGCTTTCATCATTTCAACTACTCATCTGTCACTTTTAGCTAATTGTTTCAGCCACTTATTAATTACTTTTACACCTTAACCATTTCAATGATTCATCCACTACTTTTAGGAAACTATATTAAGTTGCTTTGATGTGTCACAACTGACTTGTTTAGTCCATTACTACAATATTGTAACAGTGAAGTTTGTGCAGCTCAACATCCCACCAGTTTGTAATCGTATTCGCAAATATGTACAAAAATACATACATATTTAAAATCAAACCATATTTCTTCAAATTGAGCAAACACACAGCTGAATTTTTTGTTTGCTTGTTTGTTTAAAAAGTTTTACAAAGTTCAAGTAATGGCTTAGGTGTAAAGTATAAAGGCAAAATGTTCTACCTTTTGGTAATATATCACACTGCAGGAAGGATTTATAAAATGTTCTGTCA